TCTCTCTCTCTCTCTCTCTCTCTCTACCTTCCCCTTTCTCCGCCGGATAGATTTGAGTTAAAATTTACGCAATGTCGACGCGCACGCACGCGTTTGGACAGAGATATAATATGTTAATATGCACGCGTTTCACACTTTGCCGATAAATCCACATTATAATTATATATGTACATGCACAAAGAGAAAAAGAGAGAGAGAAGGAGAGGTGGAGAGGGAGAGAGAGAGAGAGAGAGGGGGGATAGGTGGGATAGAAACGGGGGAGGAAGAAAGGGAAGTAAATGTGTCCTAATTGATGCATAATTATAAATGCAATCGCTTTTATGATTATACCAGGTTGCGGAGTGGCGGCAACGATGGTGTAACCGCGAACGTGACGATTTAGTTTGACGCGCAAAAATAAACCAAAATCCCAAAATAATTGGAAAAACGACTCCATTGTTTAAAAAAAAAGACGATTTTGTAAATCGATAAGCTGACGCACGGTACACCGGCCAAAAAAATTGGGGGATAATTTTTGCAAACGTCAATACAGCCGACGCGACGACTGTACAACGGATTTGACAGTATAGTCGTTAGCAGCCGGTATAATTGAGTTTCTAGTATTTTCTCAATCGTACACACACACATTCGCTTCTGAACATTAAAGTCAAGCTGACTAATCGCAATAACACATTGTTTCCCACATCGATTTATCACTTACTGATTCACTAAGGGGTATTTGTAACGTAAAATATATATAAAAAGCAGAAACATGTGAGATGGTCTTGCTATTTTTTCAATAATCAACAGTCTCGACATGCAAACAAAGGCGATATGACTGGAAAATTCAAATAACCCTAGACCTGATGAATGTTAAGGTTACTATGCCGACCTGTGTACGATATGAAATCGTTAAAGATAGCGGGTGTGCTGAGAAAAGCGCGAAGATATTCTTAGGGCAATATTCATGGCCTGATCATATATTTATGATCGTCTTAAATTCATCTTAAGACGCTGTGAGAGCCGTTTCATCGACTATGCGGCGTCCTAAGAGGGGTTTAAAACGATCTTAAATATCAGATCAGACTATGAATATCACCTATAAGATCGGACTATGAATACCGAATTTTCCCATTTTCGACATCTCGCTTCGTTCGAGGAACAACTTCGCTTTACGATCTCGACCCGTCGTTTCGCGAAGAGAGTTCCCTCTCGTTTACGCTCGCCGTTATCGTTGCAATCGCGCTCTGTGCAACGCATACGAACGAACAAACGAACGAGACGCAGTCTCGTTGACCCAGACGATCGAAATAATCCGGTCGTTTCTGTTTCAGGCACCTCGATACGACAACAAACAAAGAGTTGGAGAGCTGAGCACAAGGCCGCGAGGACACTTGGTATCATCATGGGGGCGTTCATACTTTGTTGGCTGCCGTTCTTTCTCTGGTAAGCGTCGACGGTGATCGTCAACAAATTCCGCGTGGCACGGCCGATAATTAACCTAAGAATAATCTCCCCTCGTGGGAGTTAAGCGGAAATCACCTCGATAAAATTACAGCTACAACCGACGTCACTCTTAAATGTCAACGTACTCGTTAAGAAAGAATGCAAAAGAGGAAAAAGAGAAGGAGGGAGGGAAGGGGAGAGCGCTCGTTAATGCTTTAAGAACGTTCCATAATTAACCCTTTAAGAACAAGATGTTAAAAGGGTGAGTGTTTTAAAGGATTATCATATGTGCTGGGAAAATAAAACAAATAGAAATATAACACAAGAAAGAAAATATAAACGCGGAAATAAAGGTATATATAAATAGATTTTGTAAAATATAAAAAACGAAATAAAAATAAAATAAAATGGCTAAATACAACTGAGTATATTGAAGAAAAAAATATCTCGAAAGTAAAACATATTTATCCGATAGGTGCTAATAACAAATTACCTGTACAAAAAAATATATACATATAAGTTTACTTATAAGAAGCAATTGTTTATTTTATTTAAATAAAAAAATTTAGGTTTAAATAAATATTTTATTAAATCCACACTGTGGATATCACTGTGGATTTATTTTTCAGGTATTTTGTACCTTATATAAAATATTTTATATTTTATACTTAAAAAATAAATAATTAGGAAAAACTAGTACTAAAAAAGAAAAGTCTAAGGAATATAAAGATTTATATAAATATCAACTGTTTATTTAAAAAAATTTTTTTAATTTAGGTAAATACGTTATTAATACCTATCAAATGTTTTCTAATTTTTCAGATATTTTTCTCTTTCAGTGTAAGAAAGAAAGTAATATGAAAAAATGGACAATGTGAGAGAGAAAGACATGTATAGTATTAAAAAAAGACAGCGCATCGGAGCGTAAAATTTCGTCGGGCTAAGTAGTTTCGGTCAGAACGAAAGCCACTTTATCACAAGAATCCACTTAGAGGGCTTCGCGAAGAGCGTGCGAACGTCCGAGGGAATTTTTACCGCGAGATTTGTGTATCGAATCTTCGTCGCTGTATTCGTCCTCGGCACAGACAGAGCGTTCGTTTTACTCATGCCGAATGTCTCTACAGTAAGCGAAGGGATAGAAAGGCCAAGGGCTAAAGAGAAGGAGATACAAAGAGAAAGCCGCGAGAAGTCCTGCCGCTTGTCCCATGTTTTATTAATGCGGGCGCAGAGTGCATCTCTATGGAGTTTGCCGAGGGCTTAGCCTGGTCTCTCCGCGGGCTTGTTCGCGCAAGTTCGACTATTTGCTCAACCGAGCGCGCCAGCAATATGAAGATCCGTCCCGTCCGCCCCGCGGTCGGAAAAACTGTCACCTTCCTGTGCGGAGACGCTCCTCCATCCGAGATATTAAGAGCTATATTAATAGTCGTTACTTGAAACTTACTCCACGTAAGATACACAGAGACAGAGTTAGATTTCACTTTTCACTCATGCAATATATGCGACATTACATATGCAATCGCGATATTCAGCTGAAAGTTTGTTATAGTGATAACGCGCATATCACTTGTTTAATATTAAAAGCCTGGGGAGACATTTCTGGAATTTGGCAAACATAGTATCTTCTATAAATATTGTATTTTTATGGAAATATTACACATAATATTTAGGAACCCCTTTTTTTATGTAATAAAATAATATTTTTGCTAATGGATGATCTGTGTAATTTTAGCAGTCTGAAGAAAAATTTAACGATTTCACAATTTATTCAATGTTATAAATTGACTATTAAAATATGTCATTAATTCAGAAAATGCCTTTCTCAAACCGTCTAATTGAAATAAATGCTCTGTCTTGCAAATTCAGAATTGTCTTCGAATTATCATCGAAAAATTCAGGGACCATTTTTCAAGAGCAAAAAGATTTAAAAATTTTTAGCGTTAAATGTCTAAAAAACAACTTATGAATTCACCGTTTTTTTATTCGATACTAAGTTCACGATTAAACCAACATTTTAACTAATTCGAAAGCAAATCCTCCAATTTTTCTCCAAGATGGTCAAATGACTCCGAAATGGCGTTCGATGCGTCGACACTAAATCGCTCGTGGAATTAGCGTTCAATTTTATTTTTTATTATTTCCTTTTAGTGCGCGTCAATCGACTTGGCTCTCGCGGAATGATGTTGCAGGCACGGTAGAAATCGAGCGAGAACAAGACTAAAATTTCGTTAAACGGCGAACCGGCCGATGGATAAACGGCGGCGTAATACAGTTACGGCCGGCAAAATGCGGTCTCTATGTAAATCGAACGGAAGAGAGAAAGGAGAAGGAGAGAGAGAGAGAGAGAGAGAGAGAGAGAGAGAGAGAAAGAGGGAGGGGGAGAGAAGCCAATATATAGTCGCGCGTAACGCGCCGAACGCCAGCCCAGTTTTTATTCATGCAAATGCACAAAGCACATCGTTCCGGCCTGAAAGCGCGCGCACTTTACTTTTGCACTTAATTTCTTGTAGTTGCCGCCATTTTCCGGGAGCATTTTGGAATTATCGGCTTCGCCCGGCCACCGCGATCGGCTTTTTCTTTTGTCATCTGAATAATATATTTTTGGCCGAATTCTTCAACTTTGCAGTCTGCACTTTGCAGTCCCACACTTCATACCTTAATAAAAATTGAATCTCATCGGCTTCCAGTCATGAGACCGTAAATTTGTGTCTAACATCATTACTAGCCGGTAACGTAACGTTCACTTCTTCTAGTGAATAGATAAGTAAATTAGCTGATGGTTAAACCAACGAAATCACAATGAGTTATGAGATAAAAAATTATAAATATTGGATTGATTCATAAGTTTCTGTCTAGTTGGCATCCATATTTTGATATTAGAAGAGTTTCACACAGATAGCCATCTATGTACATGCTTTGATAGCCAACATTTCCGAGCATATTTTGTGATGCAAGTAATAGTGTTTAAAAAAGTGCACAGTTGCCTTTGTTGCGGTTTAAAAGTGGGAGACAGTAATGAATTTTTCTCGGCGCATCATGCTTTGTTACTTTCATAAAAATTGTTATACTTCGGTTGGTATGTTATGCTCCACCCACCATATTCATCCGACATTGCCTTCTGCCATTTATTATCTATTTCGCTCATTACAGAACTCCCTTGACGGTATAAACTTCGCTTCTTTAGAAGATGTGAACAATCACTGGGAACGTTTCTTCATCGGAAAAGCACAATAGTTTTACGAGAGGGGAATTACGTGAAAGATTGGCAAAAGATGGTGGTGCAGAATGATTATTGAGTAAAACGGTCTTTAACAAGAATAAAATGAATTTACATTTTGTTTACTACTAGCTTTTAGCTCAGGCTTGCTCGTTGCATTTTTAATAATATAATTTATATAATATCTTGCACAACGGTATTTTCTCTTTCTCCCTTGCCTACTAATAAATATATAATTATGTTTACCGAATGTGAGTATTTGCACTTTGACGTGGCAATGATAAACAACAAATGGCGACTTAAATATTTATGCCGTGTAAAATAAACAAATCCACATTAAAATGATTAAAATGATTTATACGAATGAATCGCAGTGCAAATGCAAATCGATAATAAACAAATTGCCATTTAAATGCTTCTTTTTATATTACCATTTAAAACGCTCGAAACGATTAAAATCACGAGAATCGCTGGAATAATAGTTGTTTTATTTTTTCATTCTTGTGGCTCGCGAAAATACTTTCGCGACTGTACGCAACAAATAAAATATTTGTGAGAAATGTTTGCGGGAAACGCGTTCGTGTTAGCGCTCACCCACAAATATTTTCATTTCGTACGGCGAGATTGATGTTTCTTCTCTCTGTCTTTCTCTCTCTCTCTCTCTCTCTCTCTCTCTCTCTCTCTCTCTCTCTCTCCCTGCCTTTCTCTCTTTTGCTTTTTTACACGCGACGTGTGTTTCGCGAAAAATCATGCGTCGATAACGGCGAAATATCGAAGAGCAATAAGACAGGATAAATTCTGTAAGGGTGGAATTTGCAACGATCAAGCGGGAGTTTTCAGAGTCCAATTTGTACGATTGATATCGGTGGCTTTGTGTAATTCTCGTCAAACGGAGATAGCCGCGTCGGACGGGCGCGACGCGCGACCGCAAATCTGTGTCAATCTGTTTAGTATTGTTCTAAATCCGTATCGTCGGCTCGATCGATGCTTCGTGCATTAATAACGATATGGCCGTGTGCGGTCGAACGTGCGGTCGAACGTGCATTACGTCCTTACCGTTATTTTCGTCTACACGGAACGCGTCGAGCCACCTCCTTCGGCGATTTTTCTCCGCCACAACTCGGGAGAAAAATCGGAAGAGATACTCAGACGAAATTAGTCACTGACAAGTAAACCTACCCAAAAGTTACATTCCAATTTCTTTCTAATTTAGCACAAATGTAAAAGTACACAAAATATTTAGGTCGTATTTTTTGCATTTTGACCCACTCATCTATGCCGATTTTGTTAAAATTTTAATTAAAAGTGCGAGATTTCTCTCTCGGTTCGGTCGAGATTTGAACGATATTTGACTAATTTTGCACAGATTTAAAATATTTCGGTTGGGATCTCGGATATAAAGAAATTCAGAATTGTTCGTGTTTCAGCTATGTCAATTTTGATAAAATTTTAGTTAAAATTGCCAAATTTCTCTCAGTTTAGCTGAGATTCGAATCATTTTTGATTAATTTAGCACAGATTTGAAATATTTCGGTTAGAATCTCGACTAAAGAAATTTACAATGGTTCATGTCTCAACTATGACGATTTTGTTAAAATTTCAATTAAAATTGTCAAATTTTTCTTGGTTTAGCCGAGATTTGAACAATTTTTGACTAATTTAGCAGATTTGAAATATTTCGATTAGAACCTCCGTTAAAGAAATTCAAAATGGTTCGTGTCTCAGCTATTATCAGTCGATTTTGTTAAAATTTTAATTAAAATTGCCAAATTTCTCTCGGTTTGGA